GAGTGGCTGGTGGGTTTGAACCGCCAGTCATTTGGTTAGCAGTCAAATGCCTTAGGCACTGTGCCACCAGAGCCGCTGGTAAAAAAAAACAAAAAAAAAAAACCATATAGATTGCACAAGAGAAAGCAAGGCTGAAAGGAAACATCAAAATGCTAACACATTATGTTAGTTTGTGTGAATGCCCTTCTTTTCTCTACTTTCAATTTTTCCTTAGTACATTTGTTGCCTCTTATTGTATGCTAGGCATCCTATCATGGATAGTCCATTATGTGTTATTCTAACATGGCACTCAGTGACCTCTTAATGGTAAATGGCAAGACATGGAGCTTGTGCTGCAAGCAGACGGACCTCATCCCTAAGCACACTGTTTTGGTTAGCTGACATTTTTCATAGCATTCTCAATGAAGGAAGGAATGCATTTATGTACAGTCCCACACAAGCTCCTCATTTTGTTATGAAGCAACAACAGCTCATGGACAGAAACTGTTCCGGAACACGGCACTGCTCAAGGATGTATTAGGGAAACAAAAATCCTCACAACTGGACCAATAAGCAACATTATGATAAATGGAGAAGAGATTGAAGTTGGCAAGGATTTCATTTTACTTAGATCCATAATCAACACCCATGGAAGCAGCAGTCATGAAATCAAGTAATATATTGCATCGGGCAAATCGTCTGCAAAAAACCTCTTTAAAGAGTTAAAGAGAAAAGATGTCACCTCGAGGACTAAGGTGTACCTGATCCAAGCCATGTTATTTTCAATATCCTTATATGCATACTAGGAGCTCTGGTAGTATAGCGCCTAAGGCGTGTGTTCTGGTTACCTAGTGCCGCTCTGACAAGAATATACCACAAATGGGACGGCCTTAACAGACAGGAGTTTATTCTTATAATTGGAGGCTTTAAGTCTAAGTTCAAAGTGCCAGGCTCTAGGGACTGGGTGAAAGCCCCTCAACCTTGGGGTCCAGCTCTGCCTCCTGCTCCCAGCCCACTGGAGCTAGAGGCATTTCTTCACTCAGACAGCTGCTGGCTGCTGAGGCTGAGAAGCCCCAAGTTTGACAAGTAAAAAGGCACAGTCTCGATGTTACCAATCCACACGGCAGGCCATTAACTTAAGTCCATTGTAAGTCCCAAGGTCGGCAGAGCATGGCAGGTTGCCAAGCAAGGACATGGCTACATGCAGGGTCCAAGCATGCCAAAGGCTAGAGACCATTCCCAAAGGCTTCTCCTTATATATAGGAAGCAGACCACATCCTAAAGGCAGCTACTCAGCTGCTTGTGGTAGATCCCACCATGGAGTTGATTGCCAGTCTCATCATGGGGAATAACTACCACCAGCTGCCCAGCCTCTCAACCAGGCCCAGCCAAGTTGACACACAAACATAACTACCACACATGTGACTGCTAACCAGAAGGCTGGCGGTTCAAACCCACCAGCCACTCCTTAGAAGGAAGGTTGGGCAATCTACTTCCACAGTGATACCACCTTGGAAACCCACGGAGGGGTTGCTATGAGTCAGATCAGACTTGGCAGTGAGTTTGGTTTCTTTTTGGTTTTATATGCATACAAGGAGCTCTGGTGTCGTAGTGCCTAAGGCATTTGCTCACCAGAAGCCTGATGATTCAAGTCCACCAGCCACCCATGGAAGGAAGACTGGGCAATCTACTTCTGTAAAGGTTTACTACCTCGGAAACCCAAAGGGGATCGCTATGAGTCGGAATCGATTCCATGGCAGTGAGTTTGGTTTTTTTGGTTTATGTGCATGAGAAAGCTGGACAATGAATAAGAAAGATCAAAGAAGAATTAATACCACTATCACTCCTTGCCGTCTAGTTGGATCTGACTCATAGTGACCCCTCATAGCGACTCATAGTGACCAAAGAATTGGTGCCTTTGAATTATGGTGTAGGCAAAGGGTACTGAATACACCATGGAAGGCCAGAAGAACTAACAAATCAAGTTCAGCCAGAATGCTCCTTAGACGTGAGGATGGTGAGCCTTCATCTCACACACCTTGTTCGTGTTATCAGGAAGGCCCAGTCTCCAGAGAAGGACATCATCCTTGGGAAAGCAGAGGGTCAGTGAAAAACGGGAAGACTCAATGAAATGGACTGACACAGTGGCTGCCATGATGGGCTTAAACACAGCCCTGATTGTGAGGACGGTGCCGGGCCGGGCCGTGTTCGTTCTGTGGGACACAGGCCCACTATGAGCTGCAACCAGCTTGATGGCACCTAACATCAGGATATGTAACTGAATATGAAAATGCCCACGGACTGGGTGGAGAGTGACGGCTTCTGCAGGGGACCTGGGGACACACACCTGCTCTGGATTTGGCAGTGCCGCCCCAGGGAACCGGACACCTCCATATCTGATGCGCCCCCCTGGCCCCCTTGCCTCTCGGGGCTCTCCAGCCACTGAGTCCTTCACAGCCGCTTCCTGTGACCTGAAATCCTATGGTCACCACTGTCAGGAGCAGAAAGCCTGATCCCTAAGGATGGGGAGACAGGCTCTCGGGAGCTAAGAGGCCTGGAGCAGAGGTGGGCTGAGGGCCATCTGCTCTCCAGCTCTGGTCCTTCTCTCGTTCTCACCTCAGCAGAGCAGAGGAATGCAAGTGGCGTGTCCCCTCTAGGCCTTGACATGGGGCCGCCTGCAGAAGGCCTTCTCCTAGGCCACCTCTCTGACTCAGAGACCCCCTCCTCCACCCCAGGCCGAGGTTCGGAAGGTCCAGGCCAACGTGGAGAACCAGATGTTGATCATTGCCTCCAACAACCAGAAGCACCGTGGGCGGGTAGCCTCGGTTTCGGTAAGGTTGCCCGGCCGAGACCCCTGTTCCAAACCCAGGCTTCCCCTGATGCCGGGCACCTGGCTGAGGGAACTCTCCCGGCTTGGAGGGGATGGTGTGGGCCAGGCAGACAGAGGCAGATGCCTGGGCCAGCTCTCGGCCATGGCAGTGGGCGCCCTGGGGTGGGGCTCGGGGATCCTTCTCTATGTACTCTGCTATCCTGGCCAGAAACTGACCCAGACAATGCGCAACGAGGTGAATACCTGCTTCTCGGAGATCGTCCAGGAGCTCACTCAGCTGCAGGCGAAGGTTCTGGAGTTCCTGGAGAGAGAGGAGGCCGCCGCCCTGGGGAAGCTGGGCAGCTCCCTCCAGCAGAGCCACAGCCGGCTTCTGGAGCTGGAGGGGGACAGCGTCTGGCTGCGCACCCTGCTCACCAACCAGAGCGACCAGCAGTTTTTGCAGGCAAGCCTCTGCCACCTGCAGCCAGGGCCCTATCCCAGCACCACTCCCCTCCCACCCCAAACACCTAAACACACCAGATCTGCCCAGATCCTGGATCAAGTGATCAGTAAGCGATCAGTGATCAGTGATCAGATGGGAGCCTGTCTGATCAAGTGATCAAGTGATCAGCCTAGTAATCAAGTGATCAGATGGGAACCCGAGCTTACACCAATACCCATGGCTTCTTCTCTCTCCTTGGAGTTCAGTCTTATCCTTTGGGAAGTTCTCCCTTCATCCAGACCCTAACTTCCTGCCTTCATTTCCTTGGAACGGATGGGGGTGTGCCATAGGATACTGGGTAGCTGACGGTCTTAGGGGGTGTCACCAGACTCCCCCATACCAGAGCTGGGAGTGAGACAAGAACAAACCATAGAGCCTACATTGAAATCTTATTGCCCAGCCTGAGCCTGGCCTCGCAGTTGCTGTGGAGTCAATTCCAATTCACGGCAACCCTGTGTGTGTCACAGCAGAACCGTGAGCAGAACTGGCTGATTTTCCAGAAGTCGATTGCCAGGCCTTTCTTCCAAGGCACCTCTGGTGGCCTCGAACCTCCCACCTTTCAATCAGCGGCTGATATGTTAACCCTTCGCACCACCCAGAGACCCCTCCCTGCCAGGGCTGGCAGGAAGGTGCCAGCAGCCTTCTCCGTTGATAGACACCTAGGCCTCCCCCAAACCCTGTGCTGGAGAGCTCCCCTCACAGCTCTCCTTCCTTCAGCTGCCATCACACCTTTGAGCTGATTTCTAGGGCTCTTCTCACCTCCTCCCCAAGCACAGCTGGGAGCATTTGAAAATGTTTTTCACCAAACAATTAAGGCCTCAAAAGAAACCATCCTCGCTCCAGGGCTCAATTTTCAGCCAAACAATAGGTCTGCCAGGTGAACAGCAACACTAGGGAGGAACCACTCCTTAGAACAATAAGCCATTTGAGATCAAAAGGGCAGAATTTGCCCAAGAACAAGTGTTAGAAGACAGGAAGGGTCAGGAAAGAGGAGGAATAGAAACAGCAGACTCAGTGCTATTTCACTGAGGAGGCTGCATGTATGAATTGTTGAATGGAAAACTTATTTACACTGTAAACCTTCACCCAAATCACAACAAAAATTTTTTAAAAAAAAAAAGGAAAGAAAAATCCTCATTCTATGGGAGGTCTGTTGTTGTCGTTGTTATGTGCCACCTAGTCAGCCCGACTCATAGTGACCCCTCCTTGGGTTTCTGAGGCAGTATCACTATGGAAGTAGGATTGCCCAACCTTCCTTCCGAGGAGTGGTTGGTGGGTTTGAACCGCCAGCCTTCTGGTTAGCTGTCAAGTGCTTTAGCCACTATGCAACCAGAGCTCCTATGGGAGGTCTGGTGGTTCTAAAATTCCACTAAGCTTAACAGGCTAGGCCACACAAGCCGTACTTGGGAAGCGACCTAACCTGAGATTTCCAAACTGGGAAGGTCCAGTTTTGAAGAGGGGACTTCTGCTCCACCTGGCCCATAGTTCTGGAGTCACGAGGACTCTAACGGAAGCAGGGTCTCCTGGCATCTGTCTGGGCCCTGGCTAACAGGTGCCACCACCATCTCCCTGTGTGCCAGGAGTTCCCCAGGCTCAAGCACTTTCCAGCTCACATGGAACCTCTGATGGGCACCAACTTCGAGGAGGAGAGCTTCCTCCGGCTGCCAGAGACCCTGGCGGAGCTCCGGACCCAGCTGGCCAATGTGGGGCTCAGCTTCCTCAACCAGCTCCTCCTGAAGGGTGAGTGCCAGGCAGCTTGTGTCCTTGGGGACTCACCTGCCCTGCAAGGTGACAGCACCCTACAGCCCAGTGGGTTGGGGTTCCGGGCACTTGGAGAGAGCCCAGCCTTCCCGAGCACATCTTCCTCTGGTGACACCGCCTCCTGGAAGCCCACAGCTCTCTCCAGAAGGATGCTGTCTGTGAGTGTCCTCAGCAAAGCCCTACCATCTTCCCCAGGCATTAAGATGAACTCTTACGAGGTGCTGCCCCCAGCTGTGGACAGGAAAACGCTCCTCGAGTGTGAGTCTAGTGTGCTTCCTGCCTCAGAGTTGGGGGAGGGCACAGGGCCCCTGGCTGCTTCAACCTCCCGGGCCCACCTCCATGCAGGGTAGGGCCTCCACAGAGATGCCAGCTCCCTAGCCCTAGCCTGCCCAGACTCAGTGGAAAGCCTAGGGTGGATCAGAGACCCCAAGGCAGCAGTCGGAAGTGGAGAAGACCCCGTCCAACCCCATCTCCAGTGAGGCCTCACCTACTGGCCAGAGGCCAGTCCTACTGCCCTTCCCAGTTCTGGCGTGACACAACCTCTGCCTCAGTGGGTGCATGCCAGCCTACCCTGGGCCAGGGGCCAAATCTTAATGGCTTCTCTGAACAGCTTGAGGGTCACGATTGGTTCCCTTGGGTGAACCACCTGCCAGGAGCTCTGGCCTCTCCCTCGGTCCCACTCAGCTTGCAGCCTGAACAGATGGACAGGAGGTGATGTCAAGGGCCAGGTTGGAGGCTGGGAGCTCCTGACTCCAAACACCCCTCCCTGAGGTGGGAGCTCCCACAGCACCCAGCTCATCCTTCCCCAGATGTCAGCTGCACCCTGGGGTCTGAGCAGGGGCTTTAAAGGTGGGGGTGGGGCTAGAAGGCCCACTCCTGGGAGCCTGAGGTGGAAGCACCGCGACTTCTAAGCAAACCCCATGCAACCCAGTCCCCTTCTTCCTCCCCGAGGGGCCCAGCGCCCCGCCCCGGGGCGGCCTGACCCCCCCCTCCCCTCCCCGCCCCTCAGCCTACTGCAACCTGAACTTTGACCCGGCCGCGGCCAGCGCCGAGCTCTTCCTGTTCAAGGAGACGCACTCGGTGCTCAACCTGGGCATCTTGCTGCAGCCCGCGGCCGCGGCGGGCGGCCCCTGCCCCGGCTTCACGCAGTGGCCCCAGGTGCTGTGCTCGCGCGGCCTGGCCGAGGGCCGCCACTACTGGGAGGTCGAGGTCTCCGACTCGTGGGTGTGCCTGGGCGTCACCTACCGGCGCTGCGCCCCGGCCTGCGCGCGCCCGCGCCGCAGCACCGTCTACCTGCTGGGCCGCAACCCGGACTCGTGGTGCCTGGAGTGGGACTCACTCAAGTTCTCTGTGTGGCACGACAACCAGCAGACGGTGCTGCCGGGCGCCTACCAGCGCACGCTCGGGGTGGTACTCGACTGCGCCGCCGGCTGCCTGGCCTTCTACGGCGTGGCGGGGGGCGCCAGCCTCATCCACCGCTTCCTCGCCACCTTCCTGGAGCCGCTCTACCCCGCCGTCATGGTCAGCAGCGGGGCCTGGGTCATGCTCAAGCAGCGCCCCGAGGCCTAGGGCCGGCCACGAATAAAGCTGGACTCGACGCACTGGCTGGGCCGGCGGGAGGCTGGCTGCATTGGCTCTGTCCCGGTCCCCTGCGCCCAGGGAGGTGAACCCGCCGCCCTTCCCACCCACTGACTCAGTTCCACCAGACAACAAGCAGGCCACCTTCTCTCCCCAGAGCCACCGGAGAAGAGTCTGTTATCCCAGGGCTGGGGGACAGTCTTGTGATCCGTGGAGAGGTCCTGACTGGGGTGCTGGAGGGCCCAGCCTTTCCCCTAAGACCTAGCAGAGACCCCTGGCCTTGGTTCTTTGGGCTCATTCTGGCTTTGTGTCCTGAGAGGGGTGGGTCTTGGCCACAGGTGACTTCTCTGGGGCTCCATGCAAGGTGGCCCGATTGAGAGGAGGCATCTGATGGACGAGGTGGCGTGAGTTACTGGCCTCAACGGGGACTGGGAGTTTAAACTCAGACCCTAAAGTAACCCCACTGCCCAGAGCAGAGCTTCTCACACTGCGGGTGTATCATAGCCCAGAGGAGGTGGACCTGGCACTGTCCAGGGGGGTAAACCTTAAACCCCCGTCACCCTTAACACTCCCCGCCCAGTCCAGCCAGTGTCCCACCCCACTCAGCTCCCCGAGAGCAGCACTGCCTGCAGGCAAAGGGACTGCGTCCTCAGGCCTCCACCATCTGACCTGCCCATCAGGTGGCATCTCTGAAGATGAGAAGCGAGTGGGTGTGGAAGTTGCCCTGAGAGGTGGGATCCAGGCCAGGCCACTGCCCCAGGACGGAATGAACCCCTGTGAGGAAGCTGGGGATTGTGTCAGGGTGTGGAGCTCACTTTGACAGTTCCACCCTCAACCAGCCATTGCTTCCTGTGGCTTCTCATACACAGGCTCTTGATAAGGTTGATGATTGGCTCTGAAAAAATGGGACAGTCGTGGGGGGGAAACTCCTAAGGCAGTGTTATATGGAACCAGGCTAAGTGGTAGCCCATGGGGATGTCCTTGAATTCCATCCCCACTTGGCCTGTTCCCGGAGAAATGAGTGACCCTAACCTTTGGGAGTCCCTGGGTGGTACAACGGTGAAAGTACTCAGCTGCTAACCAAAAGGTTGGCGGTTCAAGTTCACCCAAAGGCACCTCAAAAGGCGATCTGAAAATCGGCCATTGAAATCCCTGTGGAGCTGCATTCTGACACGTGAGGTCGCCATGAATTAGATCTGACTCCACGGCAATTGGTTTTAGGTTCTCATTACAAGGTGGTGATTTGGAGGAAGGGGCGACCAGGATGAGCTGTGAAGGTCTCCACAGGGACTGAGCACGCTTTTCTTGAGCCCTGGGAGTCCACAGTGGTGGTCTTGGGAGTCTTCAAACGCTATTTCCAAAAGCCAAATGGAAACTAGATCTGCGCCCTTGAGCTTGGCCAGCAACCCAAAATGCCAAGATTCTTTGCTTATGGCTGAGAGAGCACTTTAGCCATATTGGACGGCGGAGGATTTCCGGAGCCCAGCCGGGAGCCAAGAGAGGAGGCCTTCAGGGGTGGCAAGGTTGGCCAGCACTCTTGGATAAGCCACATCAGTGAGCCCTGCCCTCCCCTGACTGTGGACTGACCATGGTGAGGCCTGCCCTTGAAATGCCACCCACACACCTCTCTCATCTCCTGCTGGTACATTAGCACTCAGCAAATATTTTTTGAGTGGGAATCTGAGAAGGCTCTAATATGTGTCTTCAAGGATTATTTTACTATCCAAATTTTTGCAAAACAATTGTATTCATATATTACTTGGGTAATTTTTAAATTAAATAAATCTTTTAAAAATGCTATTCACTGCATTTTCTGGCTGCACAAATCATTTTGCTTTGCTTTAACAGGGCCTTGTGTGTGCCAGGCACTCACCCAGGTGCAGGACTCAAAGGTGGCGTGAATGGTTAAGCATTTGACCACCAGCCAAAAGGCTGGCAGTTCGAACCCATCCACCCTCTGATTCCGAAAGGTTACAGCCTTGAAAACCCTATGGAGAAGTTGTACCCTGTACTCATGGGGTTGCCATGAGCTGGAATTGACTTGACAGCAGCTAACAACGCTAAAAAAATCTCAGCATTCAAATAACTAATTTTAATGCAAAACTTTTAAAGATGAAAATTAAGTTCAAAACTCCATAATGAACAGAACACCAACATTTTAAATAAAGATAGATGTTAACTTTGCACTTGTACAATCTCGCCTTACCCTCTGCACACTCACTAATCCCAGCCCTAGTTCCAATAAAGGAGCTCTGGTGGCATAGTGCCTTAGGCACTTGACTGCTAACCAGAAGGCTAGCAGTTCAAACCCACCAGCCACTCCTCAGAAGGAAGATTGGGCAATCTACTTCTTTACAGATAGCACCTTAGAAACCCAAGGAGGCGTCTCTATGAGTCGGATCCAACTGAAAGGCAGTGAGTTTGGTTTGGTTTGAGTTCCAATAAAATTTTGTTTACAAAAATAGGTGATAGTCCATTGGCCATAGTTTCCTGATCTGGTTTTCTAATATTATCACATGAAAATGTTATTCTTTTTTGGAAAATAGGAGTTTTTTGGAACCTCCTTAAATATTGAGCTCCAGATGAGGGCCCCACTTGCTTCACCCTAGTTGGGGATGTCTCAGTGTCAGGGGGAGCTACTGTAATTTAGTAACTAGGCCGGATGTCAGGATGCTAAATGTCCTGCAATGCTCAAGAAGTCATGCCCCAAATGCCTATAGCACCCCTATTGTTAGCAATGTGTATGTACACTGATATTTGTAAATGAACAATTAGTTAAACAACATTGGTTTCACTGGTCACCTCTGCCAAAATCAATAATAGCCAAAGTGTCAGAAGCCTGGGGGCATCAACAAGGCTTTTGATTCCCAACCAAGTGTTTCTGGAAGCCGAATCTGTCCTCATTCACAGCTACAGAGTCTTGGTGCCTGGAGGACATGCACCTTGTTGATTGTGGGTTTAAGGCAGCAAATCACACAGTTGGAGATAATGCAGTTGGAAATGACACTGATGGTTAGATTTCTGCTCTACCATTCTACAAAAGTCACTGAAAGGCTCCTTGGAGCCAGGAAGGCATAGGACTCAACTCGGGACGTGTGTGTGTGTAGTGGTCTGGGAATAGAAGGCCAGGGTGGCTTCCAGGATAGCAAGTGGGGTGCTTTGGGGAGATGTGTCTGGCAGAGCAGGCAGGGAGCTGATTGGAGGCATACTCTCAAGACTCAGCGTCCCGGCCATGGGGGCCTGAAGTGGCCCCAGGGTCAGGAAGAGAAAAGATGTGAGCAATTTTGGCACATGAAAAGACTGCAGACCTCACTAGTCATTAAACCTGTTGCTATCAATTTGATTCCGGCTCAGGGCAATCTGAAGTGTTACAGAGCAGGACTACTCCACAGGTTTGGTTTGGTTTGTTTTTGAGGGGAAAACTAAATATTTTATTTTATTGTGGTTTGAGTGGATGTTTACAGAGCAAATTGCTTCGCATTCAACAATTTATATACATTTCCTTTCATAACGTTAATTCCAATTCCCTCAATGTAATGGTGCCCTTTCTAATTCCTCCCTGGACTCCCCTCACTTCTTTCCTGCCCCTTCCTGCCTTAGGATCTTTGTTTTGGGGAAAATGCTGCCCTTTTGGTCTTATATGATTGATTATTCTAAGTACGTTCCTCACATATGTCATTGTTCACTTTATAGGCCTGACTGCTGTTTGACTGAAAGGTGATTGTTGGGTGGGTTCAGTTCCAGGTTTACAGGGTGTCTTAGGGCCACAGTCTTGGGGGTTCTACCAGTGTCTGTCAGACCAGTAAGTCTGACCTTTTTTATGACTTTGCATCTTGTTCTACGTTTTTCTCCCCCTCTACCCAGGACCTTCTGTAGTCCTGGTCAGAGCTGTCGCTAGTGGTAGCCAGGCACCATCTAGTTCTTCTGGTCTCAGGGTAGTAGAGGCTGAGGTTCACATGGTTCATTAGTCCTTTGGACTAATGGTTTCCTTGAGTCTTTGATTTTCTTCACTCTTCTTTCCTCTGCATGGGGAGAGACCAATAGTTGCACCTTAGATGGCCACTCACTAGCCTTTAAGATCCCAGTCACTCCCCACCACAGTAGTGTGTAGAACATTGTCTTTGTGGACTATGTTATGTCAGTTGACTTAGTTGTCCCCCAAGACAGTGGTCCTGGTCCTAAGCCCCCACCCCAGTGACTCATTCCCTCAAGGTGTTTGTTTATGGCTAACTTTCCCCTTGCTTGCTCTATTACATACATGAATATATTTAGAACACATATAAATATGTATGTAGAAATGCCCTTTGCCAAACCTATATATGGTCATGGTGTAGTTCTGTTATGGGTAGGAGTACCCATACATGCTCAGCTTGCGTGTCTGCCCCTGAATCCACTCGTGGATTATTGTTTGCTGTCACTAATAATGCAGGACTATTATGTATTTACCTTTGTTACCTGCAACTTTTGCACACCTCTCAGCGTCTGCCTTTGCCTTAGTGACACTGTGCTGATCTCCCCTTCATTGTACATCACCTTTCCCTTTACCCAAATTAATCCATGTGTCTGTTATCCAGTTAATGATTGTCCCTCCTCTCCCCTCCCATCCCTGGTAAGCATCAAAGAATGTTTCCTTCTGTGTGTAAACCCTTCCTTTGTTGGCCATCTGAATGTCTTCTCTGGTGAAGTGTCTGTTTGTGTCTTCTGCCTATTTTTTAATTGGACTGTTTGTCTGTTTTGTTGTGGTGGTGGTGAAGCTTTCTATAAATTTTAGAAATTAGTCCCATTGCCAAACATTTTTTCCTAGTCTGTGTTGTTGTTATTGCTAGGTGTCGTTGAGTTGTCTCCAGCTCATAGCGACCCTTGCACAGCAGAACAAAACACTGCCCAGTCTTGTGCCAGCTTCATGATCCTTGCTACACCTGAGCCCATCGTTGCAGCCACTATGTCTATCCATTTTGTTGAAGGCATTCCCCTTCTTTGTTGACCCTCCA